AACTGGGGGAGGGACACTTCTCCTGTGGCAGGGTTTCTGATACTTCCATGGCACTTAGGTTTACAAGGAACTTAGCCAATAACCTGAGGTAACAATGTGCTACAAGTTTATATAGTCATTTTGATAAAAACAGATTCATTGCAACGTGGGGCAATCAAGAAAAAAACAAGTGTAAGAAAACAGTAGGAAAGAATATTAGTTACTAGTGTCTTAGAGCTCAATAATGGTAGGTGGAAATGTTAGTTGAAGCCCAGTTTGGAGAATGAGGCTTGTAATGACTAAGAATCATCTCGTCGTGTTTGGATTCATTTAAAAGCACAGTGAACTTGCTAAGGTTTGACTTTGCAGATTCTGCTTACAGTAAAACTGTGTTTGTTTTTGACAGGACTGAGGATTCTGTGTTCATTTATATGACTCTTCCCTGCAAACTTTCAGACAGTGCTGATGTCTTTATAAAATAGGAGGAATAAACAAGGACAACTATAGGAAACTGTCAGCGGGATGTGCGTGACTCAGACTTGTGCCACTTAACAAGATTCAAAACTGGCTGCTTTCAAAGGACACAAAACATGACCTCTCATGTTCCAGGAGGGATCTTTTCAACTCTGGTGTTATCTTTGAAGTAAACATGACAGAAATTCTCACTCCTCTTGTCAGTCAGAAAGGACCATCTGGTACTACACTAGAAAAATCTTCTATTAAATTCGCCACCATGCTAATTAAAGTATGACAAGAGGATGGTTAAAATGCCAGATTCTGGGAAGATATATCACTGTCTTTTTACGTGGTTAGGCAATTGTTTAATTAAGCCTGCAGCTTCTGTGTCTGCTCTACCTACGAACATATCTAAATCTCATTTACCTGTGAAAAGAATGTAGCTATCAGTGTGTTTCAAGGGGTGAGCAATTTAAAACAGAGCACATACATATGTACATGATTTAATTATACACATCAGTAACTTCATCAAATTTACTACAAGCTATTGCACTTCTCTTCCTTGCATGATTTAATTTTTCACCATACTTGCCAGCTTCAAAAGACTAGCTGCTCTACAGTTTAATATGTATTGAGCTATTCCCAATATAACCATATTGAAACATGGCCTACGATATACAGGAAGTCAGACTAGATGATCTAATTGTTCCTTTGAGCCTTAACATCTATAGATACTTGTAACCAGGGGGCTAGGATTCTGCCATCTTGACTCATACTGAATACTACTTTACTCCAGGACTAGTCTATTGAAACCAATAGGAGTACTCCCCGAGTAAGATACTCCCCTACCAGCTAATGTGGCAGTTTGGAGAGCAGGCTGCTTGGGACAGTTTGCCTTGGAAGGCTTTAATACCCTAGAAAGGGAGGACCATGGGAATTTGGCTAGGGGGCCCAAGTAACAAACAGGAAACTGCAGCTCCAGAAGCAAGAGAGGGACCACAGGGTAAGAGATGGAGACAGGTGGAAGGATTGCCAGAGGGAGGTACAGCACCTGGAGGGAGCTAAGACCCAGAACTGCAGGGAGGAGGTGCTCTAGTGGTGAGTGGACCCCATGACTGGGTGGCCAAATGGGTCCAATGTGCATACTATTCCTATGCAGCTACACTAAGGGCCATATTCTGATAACTTTTCCTGCACTCTCAGCTTTGCCACAATATCTGGGTGACCTTGACCAAGTCACGTAGGGTAGAATTTTAAAAAATGCTTAAGGTCCAGATTTCTAAGTGTGCGTCTACTCTGCACCCGGAGCTCAAAATAAGCTACACAATTTGAACTATGCAAATTGCGTAGTTAATTTCAAAATAGCTTATTTTGAAATTTGGTGCTGTCTACACAACCCTTATTTCAAAATAAGCTATTTCAAAATGTCCCATACTCCTTATGGAATGAGGTTTACAGTGATGCTGGAAAAGCGAGCCCATTATATTTCAAAATAATGGGCACACGCAAAAGACACTGCCGTGTAGACATAGTCTAAGGTTCTAAGGAGTTGATCTGCTCAGCATTGCAAGGCCTACATCCCATTTTTTTAAAAAGACTAGAGGCCCTAATGCACATCAGCCTTCAGTGAGTTTAGGCTGTTAATGGTCAGGTTTACAAAAGTATTTAGGCATCTACGCTGAATACCTGCTTTTGAAAATCCCCTTAGGCTCCTAAATATTTCTAAAAGGCTATCCCTATGTGCCTAACTCATTTTTGAAAATGGGATATAAGCCCATTTGAAAATTGTATCCTTAATATCCTTATATTTCAGTTCCCCATCTGTAAAATGGGTATAATAATATCCCTTTGCACTGTGTTGACTGCTTAGATTAGAAAGCTCTCCAGAGCAGGGATTTTACTCAGGTATACCTGGTCTCATGTAGGGATGTAGGCATTACTATAATACAAGTAAATAATGACCAGTATTATTTCCAGTTAACACACCAAAATGAGTAATAAATGCCTCATGTTCTATAGGCAGTGTGCCAATCGTCTGACAAGTTCACTTCTGTAGAAAACAATATAGACAGACACCAGATAAACACAGACTCATGTGTGGCCTTTGCAGCTGGAACACTTCAGGGATAAAATTAGGTTTGAAAAATGGTTCAAAGGAATAGAGGAGGGTCTTGGCACACAAGGAGTTGAAGGCTGGGGGGTGGAGGAGCATAGTAAAGAAAACACATAGCTAAAATTGAGTTTTACCACCAGAAGGCTTGTTGGATTTATCCCTTCAGAGGAATGAAAGGAAAAAGTGCTGCGTGAAGAATCCAAAGAGATGTGGGCCAAAGTAAAAGGAGCAGGCAAGGTGGAGTAGAGCAATCTTGAAGGAATGAATGACGTGGGCACTGATTCTGTAAGGTGCTGAGCCTTTTCACTTGTGCTGAAGAAAAGGAGAAGGACAGGAAGGGCTCCTAGACTGGGTTGATAGAATATTGTACAACAGGAGATTATCTTCGCAGCAGCACTTCTTGGCTATGTCTAGATTGCATCCCTTTTTCGTAAAAGGGATGAAAATTAGACGTATCGCAATTGCTAATGAAGCGGGGATTTAAATCTCCCTTGCTTCATTAGCATAAAAATGGCTGCCGCTTTTTTTGGCACGGAGCTTTGCCAGAAAAAAGTGCCAGTCTAGACGCGGATCTTTCGGAAAATAGAGCCTTTTCCGAAAGATCCCTTATCCCTCTTAAAATAAGGGATATGGGATCTTTCGGAAAAGGCTTTATTTTCTGAAAGATCCGTGTCAAGACTGGCGCTTTTTTCTGGCAAAGCTCCGTGACGAAAAAAGCGGCAGCCATTTTTATGCTAAAGAAGAGGGGGGGGTTTCAAAGACTGGCGCTTTTTTCTGGCAAAGCTCCGTGCCAAAAAAAGCGGCAGCCATTTTTATGCTAATGAAGCGGGGGAGTTTTAAATCCCCGCTTCATTAGCAATTGCGATACGTCTAATTTGCATCCCTTTTACGAAAAAGGGATGCAATCTAGACGTAGCCCTTTCGTCTGGAGGGAAAAGATGTGAGATGAAGGGAGGTCACAGAGGGTGCTTTTTCTGGCAAAGCTCCGTGCCAAAAAAAGCGGCAGCCATTTTTATGCTAATGAAGCGGGGGAGTTTTAAATCCCCGCTTCATTAGCAATTGCGATACGTCTAATTTGCATCCCTTTTACGAAAAAGGGATGCAATCTAGACGTAGCCCTTTCGTCTGGAGGGAAAAGATGTGAGATGAAGGGAGGTCACAGAGGGTGCGTCTACACAGCACCCTAAACTCGAAATAAGATATGCAATTTGCGCTACACAAATTGCATATCTTATTTTGAATCTATTTAGAAATAGCTTATTTTGAAATTTGGCACATCTACACAGTGTCAAATTTCAAAATAACATGCTATTTCAAGACATCCCTTAACCCTCGTGGAACAAAGGTTACCAGGATGCCAAAATAGCACGCCCGTTATGTTGACAAATATTTCGAAATAACGAGCATCTTGTGTAGACATAGGGTAGCTATTTTGGGATACCTCTGGTATCCTAAAATAGGCGTGCAATGTAGATGTACCTAGAGAAGGAAATTCCAAGAACCAGGGTTCTGTTCACAGGAAGGAAGAGAAAAGGATGGACTACAGAGTTGTTATAGAGGAAGAAATAAAATATGTTGATTTAAAATACCATAGAACCATTTATTCTTGTGTTTTGAAATCCTATCCAGTTTATCATGTTCTTCTTCTTTCAGGAATCCAGTCAGCTCCTTATCATCCACTTTCTGTTAGAAGGCTATGTCCTTTTTTTCCCTTCTGCTTGTAGGCAGCAGAAGTGACCCATAACCAGACATTGCTAACCCATGATCACCAACCACTGCAGGAAGCAGCCAGTGCTGGCTGGAAATGCTGTGGGTGAAGGAGGAGATGTGCTAGAAGCCTGCTGGCCAAGAAGAGGCACACACACAGCAGGGACTGCACTGATGGACCAGCAGCAAGAGAGACTGGGCTCACACGGTGCAGCTTTGCACACCCACTCCTATCGTCAGCTCTGGACCCCCACCACTGGCCTCTGGTCAGTGTGTAATTGGCCAGCAAGGATACAGACAGCAGTAGCACCCACCAGTGCTGATGGGAGGGGAGAAGCAGAAAATATGAAACAATTTCCCCCTTTTTTTAAAGTAGTGACATCTGCAGAGGGACTTTCCCTTTAAAAATGGGACGTCAGGTCACCCTAATAAAGGGGCATGAGCACATTCCTAGTCCTCGTTTTGTTCCTCACAAATGTGTGTCTTTTACTTCAGTATCCTTCCAAACTGTACAAACTGGACAGTCCATCATTTTGATAAAGGAAAATGATTGTGCACCAGCCTCATTATCCCAAATGGAACGTCCTACGCACTTTATTTCAAACACACACTGGTACAGATAACACAATAAGTTAATTAACTACAGAAAAATCGATTGTAAGTGATTTCGAGTGGCAATGCATAAGAGGCAGGATTGGTTATAAAAGAAAATAATAAAATGCAAACAGCACAGGTGGTGAGAGAAATGTCCAGGTACAAGATCAATATTTTGGGCATTAGTGAAATGAGATGGACTGACTCATGGATGCTAACACTTGGTTCAGGGGAGACTGTCTGTTACTCTGGAAGGTCAGATGGGCAGCATCAAGAAGGGGTTGGCATCATCATGGATATTCAGGCTCAGAAGAGCTTTCTGGGATGGGAACCAGTCAACTCTCGTATCATCAGAACGAGATTCTTTTCCAGCTACGCCAAAACCACCATTATTCAATGCTATGCACTCACCGAACAAGCTACAGAGGAGGAGAAGGACTTATTCTATAGCAACCTGCAAGAGCAGATAGACAAGACACCTCGCCACGACATTTTGATCGTAATGGGGGATCTGAATGCAAAAGTCAGGTTGGATAATGAAGGCTACGAATCCTGCATAGGTCCAGAGGGTGTCTGCAAAAGAAACGATAATGGACAGCGTTTTGTAGATTTGTGCCTGGAGAATGGTCTGGTGATAGGAGGCACTGTCTTTCAACATACGACAATACATAAGTTGACCTGGATATCTCCAGATAGAAGGACTTGTAACCAAATTGATCACATTGCTATCATCCAGAAGTGGAGAAGATCCATGAGAGATGTCCGAGCGCTGAGAGGAGCAGATGCCAACAGCGATCATCATCATCTTCTTTGTAAGCTGCAGCTCAAGCTGAAATGGTTGAAAAGGACAGACAGAAAGACTGGTGGCCAGTTATTTGACTCCAGTAGACTAAAACATCCAACAGTGAAGCTCCAGTTCACTCTAGAGCTGTCCAACAGATTTAGCCTGCTTGAAGACCTGATAGCAGATTATATTAATATCTACTGTGAGGAGATCCAGAAGGTATACCTGGAAACCAGCAAGATTGTACTGGGGAACAAGAAGAAACAGAGAAGGGAGTGGATTTCAGATGCTACATGGCAGCTCATTGAGAACAGAAAGGCTAACCAGCGCATACTTGCAGGCAGTGACGAAGATAAAATAACAGCTGTACAGGTCTACAGGGACCTAAA